TATATAAATATAACGAAGACCATATAATTATCTTTACAACAAAAGCCTTGAATACAAAATGGAATAACGACTGATTAAATATGAATATCTTATTATTTCAACGTCAATAATTGCGAAACGTTCTGCTATTTACGCTTTGTATGTTTTCATTATGTTATTGTTATTTGATAATACAAAAAATTAAATTTTAACTTGTCGTATAAAATGTATGAAATGCGAAAAATCAATTAGTTACAACGAACAGGTATGTCGGTACGTTTCCAAGAACTTACATAAACAAGACGAACACCTTTGGTACTGGTCAATCCTTTCACTAAAACGAACTAGTTTTAGAAACGAGATATCTTGTTTACACTAAATTTGCCACCAAATCTACATATGTATCACAGATAAATATTAAATTTTCTATGTCGTCCGTGAGTACGCCTCTCGCAGGCGCATGCGCAGCGCACCAATGCGAGTCTCTAACTGCTGTCGGTTAGCAAGATCACCTACAGTAAGAACTAAACTCGTTAGCGTAGAATGAACACAAATTTTTGTCAACTGACACGCATCAGCCGAATGGATAACATTTTTTGTGGGTAGACCGACAATAGAGCGATAAGGAATTCGTAACGGTACTGAGGATGTGCGTATGCGTTATATCGTAATGTCCTATGAGTCACAAAACGATGTTGGCCCGTATACGCCTCCCGTTTACTATTACGATAGATAAACCTTGATTATTATTATTTATTGTATACAATCGGTTTATAAAACTATAATAATGATCGATGTCTTATATTTTTTTTACGTATGTTACTAAAGGGTCGGATTGGAATAAAAAACATGACTCATCGTTAAAATATTTAAAATTTTGTATCGAGCTGGTTAAGAGGAAGTTTTGTAATTTAAATTTTGAATATGTATAGAAGTGGCATATATGTGAAGTTGATTGCTGTGATGTGTAATATTTTCCTTCTAACAGGTTTGGTATACTACTGTAGATTACTAAATGACCTAAAAGTCGTTTGTGTCTCAAACACTTAAAAAAGTAGTATAAAATATGTAGCAAAGTTTTTTTACAAACAACCATTGCTGTAAAAATCTTTAATATTTATTTATTTAAGGGAAAATAAACAGCTTATATTACAATAACTTATTTTATAATATTAAACAATCTGCCAGTCCGATATCTATCGCTCGCTGGTTTACGCAATACTTTATGTAAGCTAATGACAGAAAGAGATTTTAAAAGTAATATTTACAATATAAACGTATTTAGTTACACTCAATAATTTTGTTACATAACACCAATTCTTCACAAAGATGTTATAAAAAATTTCAATCAGGAAGTTTAACAAAGCAATGGCGAAACACCAATAACCTTGTATATATTATTTGAATGACCACAAGGTGAAAATATTCCCTGCATACTATAACTTTTGTCTCTTGCATATTACTTTGATTTCATGAATTTAATCCCATCTTAAGCTTCGAGTATTGATTACTAACCTCAGCCCTGGAAGTCACTCTCAAACAATAAACATAAAAACAATATCAATTTAATATTTTTTAAACGTACCAATAAAAAAAAAGAATAATTTTATGTTACAATAATTCCTTTATTTTAATAACTAAGTGCTATTCAATTTCAGAATGTAGCAGCGTAATCTTGTAACTGATGCGCTTGGTGTATTTAATTTTTTGTCCAATTTCTTTAATTAGCTGAAGTTGAGGATTATTACAGGTAAGATATTTTGAGATGTATCAAATCCACTATTTATTTAGAAAGCTCTAACAATAGTCATGAACCAAGGCAATAAAAAAGTTATGCTGAAAGATACAAAAAAAAACCTTTTATGTTCACATCATTTTATATTAATTAAAAAAACAATTAAGCCGCCAATGAATACAAAGAATTCTTTAATTATAAAACTGGAAAATCACAGCTACTTAAATGATAAATTTCTAATTAAATAACGCTTCACGTGTTTACAAAATTTACAAGTTTACTAAATTTGTTACATCATTGAACGTTGATAAGATAAAAAATATATACAAATTTTATATGGAAAAGAATACAAAAATGTTTCCTGAAAATGTAATTTTTCTAAAAGAAAGTATATGTTGGTGGATGTGGATAACTTCTAGAACCTTCTAAAAAATCTAGAATGTAATAAAATCAAAGCTATATATAGCTTAACGTATTTATGTTAAAGTTTCGTTAAATATTTTAATTACATTAATTTATGAAACATTTTAATTCATGGACGTAAGTTAAAAACATGCTCCTTCCTTTTTTGATTTGCACGAGACATGTGAAAAGGAAATCACGTGTATATTACATTTTCAACAACATTCCAGAAACTGCATTTTATACTCAATAAGTTTGTAATAACTACAAGTTTTGAAAGTATCGAAACTTTAGATTTTGCATTATCATTATGTTTCGGAGTCATTACAAATAGATTTCATAACATTGTGAGATGAAGAAGATAAGAAGCTTATCTTATATTATCTTGAAAATTATTGCCGTTATCTTTGCTAAAATTTCCTTTAAAGTTTATTTTCTAAAATTCTAGAATGTTCGAGCACATCATCGAACATTTTTCCGATGTATCTTAAAAAGATTTACAATGAGCTTATTTACATTATGACGTACTTATATTTTCGTGATTAAACAATTAATATATATCAAATTCATGTATTACAAACGTTTCTTCGAAAATATAAAGTGCCAAAATGTGTACATTTTAAAAAGACATAGTATTTTATTTATATACTTTTTACTTGGTACCCACCCCATCTTCGCAAGGGTACTTTACAAAAAAATATAAAATAGTCTATGTTGCATATAATGCGTTGAATACTTACTTTTGAGTTAAATCAAGGTAAGCAAAAATTTCATCATCTTTCTTTGTTAAAAATATTTTAAGTTTGAACTTAAAAAACGGTATATTATAATAGTTTGTTAATATAATAAAATTACAACAATGTTGAACACAACCTTAAAGACGTGATCATGTGAAACAGTAAGCTATCGCATGGATTTAATTTTCAGAATTATTAACATTATGATAACTTTCAAATGGTACATCCGAATTAAATAATTCAAAAAGTAATTAATACATACTGATGTAAGCTTGAACACTAAGTAATTTATTTTGATAAAACTTTATACCGTAATTATGTAAATAGCTTTCCTAGAATTTTTAAAAGTAGTAAAATAGACACAGTATGTTATCCTTCAGAGCTACATATGTATAATACCGCGGACTTTTCTGTAGATCTATATAAAATACACAATGCCCAATGCCACCATACATTGTTTTGTTATATCTCTAAGTGTTTTGGCAGCGTTTTCGTTAAAAGCTAACAGGCTTATTTTTTCCCGACATCTTCAACAAATATCGGTAATTTACACACAAGTCAATACAAAATCTTAACAAACTATATATATAAACCTTCCTCAACAATCCCGCTATTGAGTGGTGAAAATTTCTTGATAATTGGTGCAGTAGTTTTTCTGTTTATTGCGAACAGACAGACAGACAGACGCGACAGGGGACTTTGTTTTATAATATCTATTTATTGATTTAAAAGTACTACATAAAAATTGCGACTGACATAATTCATAAGAAATGTAGTTTCATTTCGATATATAAGACTATTAAAATGTATTTATATAAATTTACACTGAAATGGAATAAATCTTGTTGACTAGTACGTTTAGCTCCGTGCCTTTTAAGGCGTCCTGGTTTCATTAACCAATAACGGATTGGGAGATCACTGTAGAAACTAATGATGACATAAAAAATATCGTTTCTCTTTTAACCTAACAAAGTAATCGATATAATTTTAATGTAAAGTAATTAATTACAAAAAGGGAAATAGAGGTAATCTAAACGTAGCTACTGTAAAATTATAAGTATAAAGGAACTCAGTAATATGAGGGGGGAAGGGTAATGTTACTTGTCAAATGAGATATACAGATTATAAATTTTTATTGATAAATATTTCATTAATAATTCTAGCATCAATGTCGAGTAATCATTCGTGCCAGTTACCAACAGGTACGAAAATCAGCCTCCGTTGAAGGAAAATTGATACGACCATTTAAGGAATATATATGATACGACCATTTATAAATAAGTATTGCAAAAATACAAATACGAGAATAATAGTAAAAACTAGAAGACCTGGCGAACTTCGTATCGCCCTATAATCAAGAAATATCTATTACGTTTTTTATTTATATAACCTAAGTATTACAAAAATACAAATACGAGAATAATAGTAAAAAAACGTTTGTATGGGAAATAGAAAAGGGCTGAGTTCAAACTTTTTTTTTTTCAGATAGTTTAAAAACATTTCAAAAAAGATAAGATTAAGTTTTAGACTAAAAACAAGGACAAGTATATAAAGATAATTTTTTGATAGTTTAAAATTAAAAAAAACATTAAAAGTTATTTGGTTCTAACCCATTTTAAATATTATATAGCACCATGTAAAAATGTATATAAACAATGTATATACTATATACGAGTATAATTACCTTACAATATTTATGAAACAATTTAATTTATTATAATACATATTTTAATATTACATTTATTTCGCTTACTCAATCTTTTTCTTGAAAGAATGTTAAGATACGCAATCAAAATAATCAAAATAATAATAATAATAATAATTTATCATTCATGGTATTAAAAGTTAAAAACTTCGTTACTGTCATTGATTAATAAATATTCGAAGAAGTCGCTTCTTTATCGTTATCATAATTTCCTATAAATGTTTTGCCCTCAAAAGATTAGTTGCTTATCTAAATTCTTAGCTTACCTATTATTAATAATTATTAATAAGCTAACTGTCAATAAAACAATACTAAATGGGTTGAATAAGTGGTAAGTGTTTTAAATTGATAAAAAAATAGACACAATATTCAAATTATTTCACATAATAACGTGGAATGAAATATATTCGATATTCATATAATAAAAACTGCGCGTATTAATTTATCGTATTCCTTTGTGGTATTTATATGAAATGTAAGCATCCACTCCATGCACGATGCCCACAACGACGCCGATGTACTGAAAAATAAAACATTTAATTACTCATTGCATTATCGATTAAAACGTAATATTTTATATGAATCATTAGTCAATGTCAGTGTAAGTTATTTTTATCAAAATTAAGAAGCCGACTAATCTGATTCATAGTTTATTGGATATGAAAAAGTGGGGTATAAGAAAATTAAATAAAACCTTCACTCGCAACCGATTGGTCTAAATACTGATATGGTTGGTTTGACTGTTATTGATAGGTTATTTTTATACAACAGCCGCTATAATCAGGTTAGCGATACTTGAAACAAATTTATTATGTTATCAAGAATATGTGCCACAAATATTTACTCCATTAAGAAGTAAATGATAATTTAAATATCATACAAGCTTATTTCGGAATAGCTAATGATGTTTTAAAAAAAAAAAATTCGTTATTATTTTAAACTATCGTAACTTTAAATTATTTTAAAGAAGTTCGTGTCAGAAAAATATAACTTACGTAGACAGCTGTCATGGCGGGATATGCAGCGTACATATTAACGAGGGCATATCGAGGATAAAGGTAGAGGTTCACTGCCACACCCATGTAGGAGGACGCGGACAGATACATCAAGCAGGCCACAGCATTGAATACCCACTCCTGTGAAGTAGAAACCTTCATAATATCTTTAAAACATTACCTTAATATGTGGGGCTTAAGCAAACGCAAATTACTCCTTGGTTGTTTTCGTGTCTTTTTTATACATATCAAATCATTTGTTGTTAAAAAAATACAAATAGTTATAAACTAATTAGTTCGCAAACTTTAAAAGACGAAGACCTATCAAATTTCTTCGAAATAAAAATATATGATGACGATCAATGTAAATATATTAAAAGTTGGAGCTAATTAAAATTGAATGGGTACACAGCTTGAAAATAATGACCCATAATCCGAAAAATTATATCATACTCTTTAATACTAAAGGCGCTGTCATAAAACAACTGAAAATTATGTACTTTACAATTACAGATTATAGTCTTAGTGAAGTTATTGAGGTTATCATTATGCATACTCTATGATAAGTCTCTGGATAAAATGTCTCAACTGTTGACACTATTAGAATCAATATATTTAACCTAAGTTTGAGTCATCACTACAAACGGAGCGTTAAAAGTTTCGTGCTCTAAAATCTTTGCACATTGTAATTTATAGTTCTAATGTATATGTGACGATGTTAACTAGTATTATGAGTACAAAGACAATTAAAAATAATTTACTTATTTAAGGTTTAATTCTTGGTTGGGCTAAATTAAAAGTTCTTAGATTTACTTCTCAAACATATAAAAACATTCCAAACATTGTCAAGGTATTTCACTGGAAAATATATTGTTTCTCACGAATTCTTTTGTTTTATAAAGACTGAGATAATGTGGTATATCTAATTTTCAACAAAAACTTCATTCTGTGATAAACTCAATAAGTAGAAGGATTATTATACATAGTATACTAAATTATAAACGAACCTTTCGGGGATTTCTTCAGATTTACAGTTGTTAATTTTAGCAGATATTTTTTTTACCGATATCCAATGTTTTCTAGTATAAATATCTTAGTAATATTATCAAAAATTTATTTCAGGAAACTGACATTTTGTTAAAATGAATATAAAAGCTAAGAAAGAATTATAAGTATCTACTGATAACCTTATAATTATATACATTGTTATATGAACGAAAAATAATATCCAAAAAAGGAACAAAAATTTTTTCTACCATTATACTTAATAATTTCATCTTATATGTTGGTATAACACTTTCTCTTAAATTTCAATTTATGTGTCGTACTTACCTTTTTTTATTTAAAATATTTAAAAAAAATTCAATATACTTAAATCTCGAATAAAATTAACTTCTATCAATAAAATAATTATTTTTTTATGAAACAAAAGTAATATACTTCTCCTAACAAAATATATAAAAAAACCAAACTCTGGTAATTATTATAATTACTATTATCATAATAACAAACAGCTATTGTTTATTATTTTGGGATATTTTTTAGTAAACCCACACTCGATAATCATATATGATCAAGATTTCACGATTTCGTATTATCAATTATTTAAATAACTTACGAATATGGACTGTCGTATCAGGTGTTGGGAATTCGAAGACAGGACGTAGCAGGCGATAAGTAATGAAGTAGTGAGCAGACACGCGGAGGCTGTGGTCAAAAAGCCGTGGAAAGCGGAGCCCATACTGCTCGCTTCAGATAAACCGTACTTGACCAGAAGACTTTGACATAAACCACCCAACATCTGAATGATAGATAAAAAAGTATTATTTAACTGACACATATGGAATATACGTAATGGAATATAGTCATTTATTAGATAACTAGTTTTTGCCCGCGACTTCGTCCGCGTTAGTTTGGTCAAGAGTAATATATGTAGGTATAGCTGACCAGTCGAACTCTATTCCGTCTTACAAGCCATAAATAATCAGGTTTTTCCTGTTTCAATCAAACAGAATTGACATATTTGTTAGTTGTCAAATGTAATGTCAAAGAAAACTTTTGTATGGGAAATAGAAAAGGGCTGTTTTTATGGTTTACCCAGTAATGAATCAATTTTTCTCACCTTTTAAACCTTCCCTGGACTTCCAGGAGTATTTCGAGACTAAAATTAGCCAAATCGGTTCAGCCGTTCTCGAGTTTTAGCGAGACTACGGAACAGCAATCCATTTTTATATATATAGAAGATTTAGACAAATTATACGTGAAAATTTGTTGTGTTTATTCGTGATATATAAAATATAAGCGTAATTTATTTCAGAGTTATTTCAGACTTCACCTAATTAAAGTAATAACTCCAGAAAACTTACAAGCAAAGATATGAAAGCAATATTAACACACATCAAAATATTTATGGAAATCAAAACCAGTAAAATTGCACAAAAATTCGATTCGTAATATTCGAGTCGAAAGTTAACAAAAGAAACTTTTCTTATATCCTTTCGTGGTAGGTTAATTATATTTTATATTCTTACAAATGTCGGATGGGATAGATAGTATTTCGAATTTATTATTTGTTTTCAGGTAAATAATACTTACAGCTTCAGCTAGTTTTATAATTCCATGCTGTGACGTCAAATAACCGAAGTTAATACATTCACAACACCGGCAACAACAACACTTAATTCCTCTACCACTACTGCCACCCGGCGCGACTCTCACTATAGTTGGTCCGCGTGTCATTGTTTACTAAACAAAACTTCAATTTATTTATCAAACTGAACTTCAAGTCCGATCTTTCGCCAGCCTGTGTTCCGACACTAAAGAATTTAGACTGAACTCACAGGAAATTCACGAGAGTTCACCCATTTCACCATTTACACATCAGCGTTAGTCACAACAATATTTTTAGATGTTTGCAATTTATCCCGTTTAAAGTTCAGCGAACCACTTTAACCCAAATACCATCGCTACAAACAATTTAACTATTAAAGAGTTTTAAAAGTCTTTTAGTGATTATTTTAATCCAATAGTGTAGAACGTAAGTTTATTGATTTAATTAATATTGAATTTATCTTAATTTTCAATGATGAACACGTTCAAACAATGTCTGAATATATTATAAATGTGTCTCACAGACGCGTGCTCATCGCGTTTTAAATATAGAGTACGGCACAAGCGACGCGGAGGGTGCCTTCTATTTTAGGGTTAATGTTTACTTCTGAGATTATTAAGACTTGAAAATGAAATTATTTAGTTCACTTTGAATAGACCACAATAGGGTCACATAAAATCATTTATATTAGGTACTAAGTTTTACATAAACTATCTTATTAAAGTAGAGAATTAATGATAAAAGCTAAATAACCCTTTTCAATTTTCTATAACAATGCAAATTGAGGAAATATTAAATTAATGAAAAATAGCGTATGGAAAACTAAGAAACTACAATAATAATGAATACATTTTATTATTTTGTATTTATATCTGTTACAAAAGAGTACTTACTGTTTTTAAATTGTTTTGAAATATTTTCTTTGACAGTTGAAATTCTTATTAGGAATAATACAATGAAACCAATTTGTAATAATTTTTTTAAAATAACTATGAAATCAAAAAAATAGATTCTAGTTTTAAATGTTCAAATAGTATCGAAAGTTTCTTTTGTGACCATATACATAATAAATACAAATGCATTACATTACAATTATTTACTATGGGTATTTTTATATTATTCGTCGGATGTAAAAAAAATGCTCTCTGATTACTTGGTGGAAATATGTAAAGAAATTCTATTAACCCCTCTCAAGAGACAAATTGGAAAAAAAAAATTGTACGTTGAGCGGTTTGATAACTAAACAACGTCGGGGCTCAGTCAAGGTGGAAAATATTTTATATAAAAATTCACATTATGTAACAAAAGACGGGAACTAATTGAATTTTTTAAAAACATTATTTTTGTGATTATGCTGTTTTTTTAACTTTATTATATCAAGTTTATCATAAGTTTTAATATAAATTAATTAATCAATAAAGATGATGTACACTCGTGTACATTTAAAGGCGATTAACATTACAGTTACTTTTAAAACTGAATACATGTATCATACTAGGTAACTACTAAACTTTTATATCTAAGGGTTCAATCAAAGGTTTGAGTTTATGTATTGAACAACGACATCTATTAACCAAAGGTGGTACTATTATAAATACATTCATAACAATAACAACCAAATATAAGTAAATATCTGTAGGCCTTAGCTTGTTGTAATTTCTTATAAACCATTTTAATAGTAAGTAACTGAAGAGTCATTTACTGTTTAATTATTAAATACTACTTTATGTAGGTAGATGTCGTTAGGCGCACCTTTAAAAACGGATTACACCGACCTTTTACTCGATTACTCGATAACACATTCGAAACTACACGAATGAAACCATGAAATGCAATTTTAGTTCAGTGACCACGCAGTCCACGAAGACCGAGCCGCGAGAAAAAGCTAGAAGGTACTCTAATAAGGTCTTAGTTAAAGTTTGTTACTCAGGCATAATTTAAAACACAGTAGTTGATCTTAAGCTTGCATAAGCCTGCACATATTAGTGATTTCATTGACGTATGTATATGTTTTTAAGTGTTTAACTTAAAAATAGATGCACTAATAATAAAGAAGTTCTTCTTTTTCTTATATTTTTATTTTGAAAGTACAAAAATGAATTCTATAAATATAATTTAGTTCCACGACAGAGAACCTGTATAAATATTTGATACTATTGTAGGTACACATTTTTTTTGTAATGTAATGCTGTTAGCCGTGGCTTTTACAGCATCACAGGTAGAGTGGGCCAGTGCCGGGAGTCGGGACTGACCCGTTAAAAAAAAACAGTAAAAGTGTTTAATACAAAATGTTTAAACAAAAATAGTTATGGACGATAACACAACTTTAATGAACAATTGTTAAATATATTATTAATAAATTGTTTTACAATCAAAATAAACTTTATACTTAAACTTTTTATTTATTGTTATCTGGAAAGATTTTAGAAAGATCTTTCAAAAGCAATATAGGAGTAACTTCCTTTGATATATCGATCAAGAAAAACGAGAACTTCTTAAAACAAAACCAAAGTTTGTATATAATGGGTTACCTGTTTCATTTTAGTTGGTCTTCTAAATTTGACTTATTTAATTTAATTTAGATTTATTCAATAAGGTACTATCCAAAATTGAAAAAAAATAAGGAATTGGATTTTGGGTAAAAGGTTAGAGTTTTAAAAGTTTATAGAATCTCAAATTAAATTGGTTAGTGTCATTCATTAGCTGATAGTCTGCACCTTCTTCAAATTCATAAATTTTTCTATTGTAAGCCTTACATTGTGCTTTCTGTTTTATTAATTATGGAGAAAATAAGAATTAAAACCTTTTTTTTAAAATAGCAAACTCAAAACTTCTTGCATAAATTATTTTATACCATCTTGCTAGTATCGCTTATCGTTTCAATTCGCGAATAGATAATTTTTCGTAAAACATAGCATATGTAATTTTTTTATTACTTAATTATTATCTATGACTTTATTCAATAACTGTCAAAAGAAAAAAAGAAAACATATAATCCCACAAGTGCTGCCTCTAGCGGATCTTTTAAAAATCATTAGAAGAAACAAAATGAACTGAATCATGAGTACAATAGTAATGACAATTATTGTGACGCTAGCGGTTCTTTACTTAAAGAAATAAATTAATTTATTCTTAAACAAATTTTGTTAACACTTATATTTTTACAAAGAATTATAAAACAAGCGTATTGTTTGCACAAAAAGAATTACATATACCAAAATTAATAAATCAATAAAATAAATTATTTTAATAATGACTCACACCAGAAAAAATATAAATAAAGATTGAATAATTTAAAAAAGGAAAATATGGTTACAAAACTATCATTGGCCAAAACAGCGTTTGAATACCCAGCTGAGAAAATGTAACTCTTTGATTATTTTGATTTACGTTACTCTTATTCTACCTGACAATTTCCCAGCTTTAGCCAGGGTCTGCCTTACATGTTGTAAATAGTTTTGGCTAATTGTTTTTACGACCGGCCGCCTGCCTGACATCAACCCTCTTTGGGAATGCATTAACCAGTGATGTCTAAATACTCTTAGAAAGTACATATGACTCGGAAAAATCACATTGGTGGGTACTTGCCAGGATCGAACCCGCCGAACTCATGAATGAGAGGCGGGCCTCTTATCCACTAGGCCACCACTGACTTTTGATTTAAGTTGCATTATAATAAATAACTTTAAATCTACTAAATAATACAAATAATGTTGATTCTTAAATGTCAATAAAAGTTTTCATAAATAACAAGGTTAGTAGTACACTATTAGTTATTACGTTACACATGGTAGGGTGATTTGATTAATAATATATACATTTATCAACGTCAAGCTTGGCAATAAAATTTCCAATACATTTCCAAACGCAATAATTAAAACGTTACATAAAATACGTGACCTAATTACTGAGTACGTATTATTATCATTTCGTCAATTTTATCGCAAGATCCTTTTTGAATGTAATTTTTTTTAATGATAGTTTCCATTTGAAGTCAAATTAGTCAATTTCAGTAATGAAGAGACATATACATAGTCAGATAGTAGTTTATTTTTGTGTTCTATATTTCTATATACAGACAAATAGCTTCTCGTTTTGCATTATTTTTATTCCTTTCAGATAAAGTATATTTGTATCGAAATCCTTTCGCGTATGATAGAACATAAAATGTATGTCTGCCTTTCACTTGTCTTCTAGAGAGAAAACATGTATCAAATGTTAAGTAGAAAGCTTCTAAACATCTGATACTGATTTTCTTGAAGTTTTTACGAAACATATGACTAGGATTTTTTATTAACGTTGATCATAGAAAAAAGTACATTTACATAAAAGTACTAGTTTAGTTTAGAAAACACTTTATAAATTATATTTGTATGTTTTTTTAAAGTCTATGACTAATATTACAATGAGAATATAATAGTATATTTATTAAAAGGTGATATCTTTACTGACACTGATTGAAAAAATCCACTTATAGAGAATTCGTATAAAAAATCAGTCTCGCTCATCGGAGACTTGGACATAAAAGAAGTCTAGACCAAACGTTAGGTAATTGATTCAGCCATAACTTTGTAGAAACTAAATTTCGTTGAGAAAGTTACCGCCATCACAGACAGTCATTTGTTTTATCTTAGGTTACTACTAAACTTACTTTTATGAATACTTTAAATAATATTGTTATATCAAACGGTCATATTCAACACTATTTATAAAAATATGTTAATACAGTCATAATGTTTACGACAGACATATTTAATATCGTAAATGTTTATTATTTGTAAGATTGATAAACATTATTAAATAAGACGTTAAAAATTCTTCACAGAGATAACATTTATAAATAAATACTATGAGATACCTTTAAAGAAAATGACAACTTCATTATTTTATTACGCTGATACATTTTAATGTAACTTAAGGAAAAAAATATAAATAATAAACACATACATACATTTTTTATCTTTATCGTTGAAACGTCAAAGAAATTCTTGTTTTTTTTTTATTTATTAGTAACCATATATAAAAGTAGGCACATTTTTATTATAAATTACTATATATTTTTCTTTTAATAGTATAAAAGCAAAAGCGTATAAAAATCTTATTACAAACATCTCACAGCTCAAATCGAGCTCACGTCATACATTCAATAGTTTATACTTTATTCAAGGACTTAAATAAAGTTTTGTATAAAACAAAGGTAATAAATAACTAACGTATAAATTATTTGTTCAAATGCCGCGGTACGAGCGATTTGCGAGGAACGTACTCAATAAATATAATCCCGCCATGACTAAACCCATTACCTGAAACACAAATAATGGCAATGAGAATTAATCTTCTTCTACCTGGCAATTTCCCAGCTTTAGCCAGGGTCTGCCTTACATGTAAATAGTTTTGGCTAATTGTTTTTACGATCGGCCGCCTGCCTGACAACAACCCTCATTTGGAATGCATTAATCAGTGATGTCTAAATACTCTTAGGAAGTACATATGACTCGGAAAAATCACATTCGTACTTGCCAGGGCCAGGATCGAACCCGCGCCCTTATGCATGAGACCTTTTAACCACTAGACCACCATTGACTTATTAATGAGAATTAATATAATGTTTTATTTGTTTATTCTAAGAGCATCGTTACAAACTCACCGCCGCTGCTAGGTAAGGTTCAAAATCTCTCCGGTAACTGCTCTTCTGATGATTGACCTCTATCATTAAGGTAAGACCGGCTGCTAGATAGAAAACGAACGCTATCCCGTGATATATCACCTCCTGGAATATACATTATACTTATTTTAAATATTAATCAATAAATAAAAATAACTCTCTTATTCTTTACTACGTAGTCGATAAATACGTATAAACCTAATGGAAAATAAAACTATCGGGAGTATCTATTAATTTAAATGAAACTAATAGTATTCGCATTACTTCGCGTATTTTATTATTTTAAATACGCATATTCATCCAAATAATATTACTTTCAAGTATTTACATATCTTTCAATTATAGCATTTCCTAAAGAAACAACTCTACCGTTTTTTACTGATTTAAAGCATTTAATGTGCTAACTGTTGTCTTATAATTATTTACATTATTTTTGTTACTAGACAAAAATCACATGATTATTAATTTTTCTACACGTCTGAAGTTAACTGGTAGAAAATTAATTCCAACATAAACGCGTCATAAATTCGTTTTTCTTTGCAAATTAACTAATTTATTAATCAATACTTATTATTTCTACTTATAATACTCACATATAAAGTCTTGGATATCATAGACGCTGTGGAAAACGACAGCAAACAGGACAGCAACAAGCAGAAGGTACCGATAAGAAATGCAAACTGATACTAGGAGGTAAAACAGTTCCGGCTTCTGGCCGTTGTATCGAATGTAGCCTGGGTCCAAATAGTAGCCGACTACACCAACACACGCCGCGCCCAGTAACTGTAAAGAAAAACAATTTACGTGATTATGAACATTCTTATTCATTATTCATCATTATTCATTATTGAACAACAGTATGGACATTGGATATTTGTCGCCCCTTTCTTCTCTTCTTTCTGAAAGTGAACTTTCCACTGATGTAACTGTGCATTCAGAATAAACTATGATTTATATGATAATTTATAATAGTTCATGGAACTTGGTGAATGTTGTCTTTTGTATGAGATCAAGTGTCATTATAGATGGCCCTGCATATTGGTTACATATCTATCTTATTGAAGTTTAATATTATTTTATATCTGATTCTGAACATAAGCTCATGATCAACATGGTATCATAAAGTCGCGAGTATAAAGTAATTATATTACAATTGATTTATTTTATTAACCTGCTTAAATTTAAAGTATTGATTTAATATAAAGTTCCATACTAAATGCACTGTATATTTAATAACTTCCCAAAATGTTTTTTTCCTACACTTATTTTAAGTCGATGAAGTATTAGTTTATTTGAATTAAGAAAAAATACATCGTATTTTATGTATCGACTGATATCATATATTGAGACATCAGTTACTCTTTCTCGCCTTGTGCGTACATTTAATCTATACTAATATTATAAAGCTGAAGAGTTTGTTTGTTTGTTTGAAAGCGCTAATCTCCGAAACTACTGGTTCGAATTGATTAATTCTTTTTGTGTTGGATAGTCCGATTATCGAGGAAGGCTATGGGCTATATAACATCACGCTACGACCAATAGGAGCAAAGATATAGTGGTAAATGTGTAAAAAACGGGAGAAATTATTTCATCTTTGAAGCCTTCCGTTGCATGCGCCGTGAAAACGGTTCAAGATACACAAAAAATATGTGTTAAAGAATAATAGCTCTTTTAATGATCTAAAAAACCGTTTTTTAAGTTGTATCAACATAATGATATTAATCTTTATTCAAATAAACAAATAAATATGTTGTTGGTTAAGAGTACTTCATTGTGAATAAAAAAAAACATAGGTTTTATCCTGAAAATTCTACGGTAACTCGACCATTCCGAAAACCCCGCAAGAACGGGAACTATGTGGGAAGAACCAAAAATCTGGCGGAAGTCACATCACACGGAAGTATTCCACGCGGACGGAGTCGCGGCAAAAGCTAGTTAGAGTATAGGCTACAATTAAACCTCAATTCTATGTAACTCGTGTAAGAGACTAAGAGCACTTCATAACATTTGTATATTTTACTATAAATTCACATGACGCAAGCGACAGGTGACACTGCTGGTTGGTACAGATAACAATAATTTTAAGCACTCTTATAATTTCTCTAAACACAAATCCGAAGTTTACGAAAACGAAGTCGCACTTAAATGCTAGTCTTATCTATATGTTTGCACATATATTTAATATAATATTATTTTAATGTTCCTCGAGTTCGTTCAAGTTCAAATTCAAGAGTAGGTCTTGGTAATGTCACGTTAAATCCTCCCACATCTCAACTTACGCCTTAAATGCTAATGAGGCTATATATGTTTGAAAACATATAAATTTATTTTGTGTACAATGATGAATTGTGAATAAAAAAGTATTTTCTTATAAATTGCAGATATTTTGAGAAAATAAAAGAAAATACATCATTCGTTTTCTCTTGGAATATCTGCGAACGATAATCTTAATTCTTAAGTGCCTGTTCAATGTTACGATTAACCAGAAATAGCAAGCGAGCTGCACACGCACGGTTTGCAAAGTCATTAAACTTCAGATTTTGGTTAGGAAACCAAAATATAAATCAAACAAAAATAAACTGAGACAATTTATGATTTAACGAGAAGCATTCAAAAGCCACAGAATACATATTCATATAAATGTCTGCTTTATTAACTAATAAGGCTATTATTTATTGAATAAAATGAAAAAAATTACTTTTATCGAAAATATTATTCATGTAATTCTCTAGTTTTTCGTGCAACAAAATTATCGTCAACTTTAGTATAAACCGGGTTACAACACTAGCTCGCGTCCACACTAAAATCCAGTGTCGTAACTCCGAGACTTTTTCGTCGCTACAACTATGACAATGACACGCTCGCTGACATCATCGGGTCGTATTTCAAGGAAATCGGAAGGATGTTTACATTATATTTACATACTCTAATAGAATTTGAGTTTTTAAAGCTCATACAATAATCCATTATCACTGTACCGAGCTTAAAATAAATGTGTGTAAGAGATGCGTCATGTAATTCTCGAACAGTTCTGTCAATTGTATGTACGTACGAAATTAATTCCAAAATAAAATACAACAACCTTCATAATTGTATAATTTTTATATAGTGAAAGTAAATTTTCTAGAGTATGAGATAACTTTAAATTGAAGTTCAGATATGATTTTTTTTTTTTAAATGGGGGTGCCTAAAACATTTTTAATATATTACGAAATTACATGTTATATGTTAAATAGAAGTAATAGAATACAGAAAACAGAAAATTTTATCCACTTTGTTTGCGGAGCTGTAAACCTACTCTATTTTTGTACTAACTGTTCTTTAAAATTTGTCAATCTTGTTATGATTGTCTGTTATTATCAAAAAGTACCACCAATGACATCGTAACTTCAATATTTAGTTAGTATCATGCAGTTTTCATATTATTATTAATTTATTTACCAATTCCGCGAGTTTTAATAATCCTGGCAGTGTTCCCAGATAGCCGCTGTTGACGAAGAGCGGACTTCCTGCAGAAGTGGTGGTCGTCCTCGTGATGGTCACCGTATGAGACATGTTACCCAGCTGAAATATTAATAATAATTCACTAAAAACTTTTTAAAAAAAAATGCATAAACATATTCTTAATCTATTTACATCGAAGTTAAAAGTATTTAGTTCCACGCTAAGTATTCTGTATTCACTTTCTTACGAAGTAATCAATCTGACCGACATACAGAACATGATATACAACATATAATAATTATGATATGTTGAGGATTTATGAATGAAAAATGCACTCGATTGTAGTAATCCTTAAAGGCGAGTCATCTCCCGAAACGGCAGCAGAGGCCGCCGGGCTGACGGCAAGGTTTATGTGCCGAGGCCGTCCACTACCGCGAATAATAAATAATTTAAATATAAACTTTCACACAATACAAACACATTTATTTTTAAAATATATTTTTGTTCTTTGAATAACAACGAGGATTATAAAAATGTTACAAATGCAAATTACTGACTTTTTGCAAGCACCTTATTTAGTTTGTTTTTGGACTCTTATTTACATATATTCAAGGTCACCACTGAAGTATTTTTATTTCATTATAAAAAAAACATATTAAATAGCAGAATAATTATATTAGCAAATAATACAAGGAAACTGCAATATTAAAATAATTTTAATAACACGACAATTTCAATAACAGCAAAGTTTCAATGCATCTGTAAGAAAATTTCACAATAAACTTAAATATAATGACAATTAATAACTCCATCTGAATGTAGTATAAAATACAACTAGCGGATAAACCGAATTACAATTATTATTAATTGATAATTAAACTATTTACTTACATTTGTGTTATATCTGTTGAAAGTTAGCACGGGTGCAGACGGCGCGTCAACACTGTAAGGCATCACCTTAGACTGCAAGAGTCGACTCGATTTAAGAATGACTCACTTGTTGTGCCGCGCATGCGCATAACATACTCAGATAAAACAATATATAAACCTTACAGTCCACGGCCTTTATAATACGGATAAAAGTCTGATAAATTCAAATATTCTTCTCAAACGAACGAAGTTATTGAAAATAGTTCAGTAATACGTACATTCATTTAACAGCACACCTTGCTTATAACAATTATTAATATACTTATTAACGAATTAAATCTTCCTTTTCTAAATATATTTAATACTAGCTTTCCGCCCGCAGCTTCGCCGCGTGGAGTTCGGTTATATCGCGTTTCCAAGAGAACCTTTCAAAAGTCTGGGATAAAAACTATCCTATGTTCTTTCTCAAGGTCAACTCTATCTCTGTACCGAATTTCATTAAAATCAGTTCAGTGGTTTAGGCGTGAAAGCGTAGCAGACAGACAGACAGACAGACAGACAGACAGACAGACAGACAGAGTTACTTTCGCATTTATAATATTAGTAGGGATTCATGCAAGCATGAAACGAGCTTGTTTGTTCTTAATGAAATAAAAAATAAAGATAATAATACATAAACGCTTATGAAATATTAATAATGTATGAATTTTATACATTATTCAAGAAAATTATTAAATTGACTATTCTTTGAACGCCAGTTACTATAGAAAAGTTCGTTCGTCTGGAGTCTAGACAGGTTTGTCATAAATTAGGGGAGTAGAACCGTCTTTGTAAATTGTAACTACCCTAATGCTACTTTCATGATAATAAAAATCAATCTTTTAAGCATAGTACTTAAGAGTTTTTTCTGAACAACAATAAATATTTTATAATACGTAAAATCTTTAAAAAAAATGAAATTTTTAAAAAGAAGTGATTTTTTGTGATTATGGGATAATTCTGTAAGAGGGTACAGTTTAATAAATCCTTACTTATCGAAATAAAACTTATATTTATTTCAAATAAATAATTAACTTCTCAGTTTTCTTTTATTTATTTTAATTTGTAACTTAACTGTATTTAATTTTATTATAATAGGATTAATAATTAATTATTAGTAAATAATTAATTAAGGATTAATAAATAATAGTCAGTGGTGGCCTAGTGGTTAAGGGGCCCGCCTCTCGTTGCCGGGGGCGCGGGTTCAAACCTGGCAAGTACCAATGTGATTTCGGAGTCATATGTACTTTCTGAGAGTATTTAGACATCACTAACATACGGTGAAGGAAAACATCGTGAGGAAACCTGGACTTATAGTTTCACAATTATAAGTTTGAAATCACCAACCCGTCTTGAGCAAGCGTAGTGATTAATGCTCATACCTTCTCCATGTGAGAAAGAGGCCTTGCTCAGCAGTGGGCGCTGATAGGCTGATGACGACGACGATGACGAATAATTAATTTAAATAAGATTGAATTTATGTGTCAGAATTGATATGTATTTCAATAATAATTATAAACATATAACATTAACAACTCGTTTTTAAAAGGCTTAGGTATATTCCCATACAAGGGTTAATTTTGAATAGAGGAGCGCCGTATTTGACAGTTATTGTGTACTCAATTCCCTTGAGTCTCTTCATTATTTTTATTTAGGTGGCTTACCCTTACTGTTACCAATTAGCTTATTAATATATGACAAGTATTTTTTCGCAGAATTTTGGCTGACCAATTGTTTTCTTTCTCTTTCTATACCAAAAAATTTCGTCAGTAATAGGTTTCTCCGGAGTTATTTCTGTAATGTGGTCATATATCTGGATTTGCTCTTTAGTTTATTTTTACTTTCTTTTTGATAAACCAGGTTTTTCCACTAATAAACTATTAATAGTTCCAGATAAGAAAATACGATACTGTAATATGAACATCATATTATATATTAGAAAAAAAGATAACGATCGAAATTTTTATCTTTTTTAAATGATAGTTTTTCTTCTCCAAGTTGTCACCATATAAAGTCTATGTACACATTATTCTCTGTAAATGAATCTTAAAAAAGTGAGTGGCAACATCCACTTTTTCAGTCATCCTTTAGTTTATCGATAACCTACCCGTATGACCTTAAATATCAACCTTAACTCCAAAAACAAAATGCAAAGTAACAAACAATTAACTGATGCTTGAAATCTCTCTATTATACCAAAAGTACAGATGATAACGCTTCCGAATTTCAGAAGTATTCTTAGGATACTCCTTTTAAACGGGTTCATTTCCATACTTCTTTAAAACTATACAAACCTTCTTAAATATGATAAGACGTAGAGCTAAAATAGACCACATCCTCGTGAAGAAAAAAAAACATTTAAATCCACTGTAATTTATTATATCTGTATTTATTTGACAATACACATCTATATAATACTCTATTAATAGTTTATGAGTCATATATATATCAAATATTTTTGCCCCTCTTGACTTTCGGGAAACAAAAATGACATCATTTTCATAATCAGTCATTGCGATGTTTATATCTCCGGCCTTCGAACTCAGTAACAATATGGAAATAAAAGATAATAAAATAAAAATACAAAAAGTGTTAACGTGTTTTATTAACTCTTTACATATTAGTTGAATTAAACTATTGTGTACATAATGTAATATCCCTCATACTGTTACATAATAAAGGTACTTATTTAAGAATAAACTTATATAATCTGTATCTTAACAACAACTGACACATTGTTACCAACAAGTCAATACTATTATAAAAAAAGGTACATGTAATATTCTAATTTGCACCGTTAACAAAATCATATAAGTATATTGTGTCGTTTAAACATGGAACACGTCAAAAAACATCGAGCGAAAAAAAATCTTCACAACCAGCGACAATTTAGTGTAATTTGTTCTTTATTTAGTCATTTTTTAAGTTACATAGTGATACACGATATCAGACTAGTTAATTGACAATAACGATATAAATGTTCGAATATGAAAAATGTGCCATGTGCTTACATTAATACACTCAGAATGATCCGATGAGAAACATTCTGAATATTAGAAATGATATAGAAACATCAAAAATATCAGCCCACAAACATAACCCATATAACGCAATGAATATAAATCTCAGTCACACTGTAAACGGTCACAAATTAAAAAAATAAATAAGTCAGAAAATAATCCCACGTGAACAGGTACCACCCACTCCGAAAATCCAATATGGCCGTTAATATTAAATTCTGTTAAATATCAAATGCCTTACACTTTATATATTATATTATAATGATTTTGTCGATTCAATAATAAAAATTCGAATATAATTTTATCATTATTAGACTGTACAAAATGAATATAAAGTTTTATCTATGAAATAATATTAAAAACAACAAATATTGTTCGGGAGGTGCTCCGGCGCCATACTCACGCCGTTCCCGCCGGCGCGCTGCTTCTGTGTTCCTGGTACAGAAGATATGAACTGGCGCCGTATGCTAGCGTGTTGAATATACCAAACACCTGGAAAACAAATGTATTAAAAATATAATAAGTTTTTAAAAAAAAATATTATGTTCATAATAAGGTTTTATTTATAAGATAAAATAGATATTTAAAAAATATGTGAACGTTTATTTATAATTTTTATTGTCACGTTCGATATTTAAATTCAAAGACATAAAAAGATCCTATCAAATTTTTTAAAATGTTCATTCTAATTGTAAATTTTAATGTATAGAATTGAACTTCGATTACCAGAAAAAATAAAAATAATATAAATACAAATAAAATACATACAGCCGCTGCAATGTTTCGTCCGTAGTTGCCATAAACTGAAGTAAACATCACTATGAAGGCAATAAGATAGAAGAATGTTTCCAAACAGGTGCTGATTAATTCCTGGAACAAAAAAAAGTAATAAATAACCAAGGTCATAATTTCATATTGATTAATATTAATTCGTTTTACATTTATTGAGTTAATTTATTAAAGTAGTCGAGACCAATCAACATTTAATACATTAAAATATTTTTAATTAATAATCCTCCGTTGGTTCTTGTTGCTAGTCACATAATTGAAATTATTATGGTGATGTCATGATAGAAGAAATATATTTTTTTTTAAGTAGTTCTCATACGTATTTAATTACGATATTATACGTGGCCTTGAAAACATTTTTTTTTCAATTTTATGTATTTTCATTTTGAAAGAAGTTCTAAGTATTAAAATATAAATTACTTGTTTTTTTACAAATCTAACTATTTAAGCTTTCTGGAGGTGTATTATTCGAAATTTGTATGTAGTGTAATGGTAACACTATTATATATGCTGGTCTTATTTTCTTAATTTTTCTACAACTTACAGATAGCACCCAGTTGATGGGTATTTTCAGGGCTTCTCTGATGCTCAGGAAATAGACGAAACTCCACATAAGGGTGGTGATGAAGGACGTCACTGCTACAAAGACATACCACGCGGACGCCCACGGTGTGCCCAACGCCATACACAAGATACCCAGAACCTGAAATGAACAACAAAATGTTCAATAAATATAGAAGAACATATTAAAACATTAATATTAAATTCTTTAAAACTTCTAGAAATTATAGTTTTTTTTTTACTTTTACTTTAGTAGTTTTTTTTATGACACACAGATAATTATTTTTCTTTATTAAGCATTGTTATAGAATGCTAGAAGGTGTAACATTAAAACGTGTAATATGAATATATTTCATATTTATAGACGTAAGGCAAAATCAAAGATTATCATTTTTATTTATTACATTTTTTTTTTTTACCAATTGTTAATGAAATGAAAAATCTCTTTACTTTCAGTCTTATTCGAAGTTTAATCTTATGACAGATTTTATCCTCAATTAAAGTTTCAGTTTAAAATTTTCCATTAATACCTACATCTTACGTTTATCTTATCAAGTAAAATTTATGAATAAACTACATTGAAACTGTCTGGCTTTAAGACGATGCACCACACAGCAATCTCATATAACGTTCACAAAATTGCACATAATATCATTTCTACATATACATTCTGTTTAATTTAACAATACAAAGTCATTTTCGAGGTCGAAACTTCGAGAAAAAACTGATTGGTTTTAAAAATGTTCTATTATTAGTAGTCATTAATTGAAATTATGACAAATATGTCGCATTCAGGTAGTGGTTGCATATAACTTTGTTATTCGCCTCTATACTATTGATTGAAAACTAATATCTAGTTAACCTTGGATTAAAAATAAAAGGAAAACAGGAAAACAAGTAGCATGTCTAGATGCAGGAAACATATAATGTAATAATATATGTAAAAGTCATAGTTATAAAACCTTTTTGATTTTTTTATAACTAAATTTATGTTTAAAAAAAAATTACATAAATAAATAACAAGTAAACAATAACTCTGTTTGTTATTGTCGTAAAGATATTAAAGTAAACTATGCCATATATTGTCATATGAAAGGCACTCAATTAACAGAAGCACAAGCAAGAGGTAATATAAATGCAACAGTGGGTAAATGTGTTACTTTGGGACGTAACGTATATTTACATACATGGAAATTTATTAAATACGAAGAGAATCAGTTACTCGGTACATTTCTTATAATCGGTGTATAACAGAAATAGCTAGCGGTAATATGTTTGTACGATTAGGGCAACGGTGTCCGCTTGAGCCTCCTCCCCTCATTAGAACCGGTTTCTTATCGCCTGCGCCTGCGCCGATACATCGGACTGGCGTAATACTAGCACACAGGTGTACCACAAGCGAATTACTTACGACCGACAAAACAATAACATATAAATCGTGACTATTACTTACATATACTTATCATTGGAATACTAACGGCAAATGATTTTTACATATTTAAAAGCAAATTTAAACTTTCAATCGGATAAATTTCTTCTATAAAAAAAAGCGAAAAGTCTTTTCACTCTTCTGATATTTAAAAATAAGTGAAATTTGAGGTAACTTATAAAAAAACGAGGACAAAAATCGATGTCACTTGTGACGCCGTGTGCCGTGTGCCGGTGAAAGTGCCTACCTACCATGAATACGTATGGGAGCCGACCGGCATTCGACTTCTATCAATGGGATCACAACCATCAACGCTTTTACTCGTCCAAGTTTCGCTCTACATAACAAAAGTGGCCGGATTTCCGACTCCAGCGCCCTCTAGAATATTAATGTTGAATGGACTATATGATTTACATTTAATTTAGCAAACTAAAAGTGAGAATAGTCGATTTCGAATCCTATAGTCTAGGCAATATTTAAGTATTTGTGTTTTATTTAGAAATAAAGGTATAAGTAAAGTAAAAATCAATATTCATGTGCGTCTAAGTTATCCTACAAAGGAATAAAACCTTCGTACAACTGTGCCCTTGAATCGATTGTGGCTCTTTCAAATACGCACAAGAAAATCGATATTCTAATTAACATTAAAAATAAATTGTGTAGTAACATTTATATGGCAGTTGGAATGTTAGGTTGTTATTAGAGCTTTACTATAGTTTTAAAGGTCAAACATTTTGATGAATATTTTTACTCTGCATTAATATATAAGCTATGGAATGTACTGTAATATTTATAAGATCCCGAAAGTTTAATTAAGATAAATTAATTATTTGTGATATTTTTGCAAAAACAAATTCTATGTTTGATATTAAAATTATAGGCACGATCATATAAATATATCCCTACTTATTTATCGAAACCAATAATTTATTTATTGAACTCTTTATACCTGACCACTGCAATCATTTCCGTTTAACATATGTTAAGTGAAATCATTGCCAGTTAACATTTGGGTGACTGGGTAGCGAGTACATCGACCGACAGCGACGCACCCGAAAAAAAACATCGTCTGTTCACTAACCATACTTCCGTGCATGTAACTACGACCGAATAGATATAATGCAATTAAAATTTTTATTATATAATAAACAATAAAAAAATAGAAATTTATCCATTTCGAAACAACGCAGAAACTTGAAAACAAAAAGATCTACAATCGCAGCACCATCAATAATTTAATAATAGATCTAACGATTTCTATATAACGAACTGTTCAACGTATTAATGGCTAGAGAAACTGTTACTCTGACGATGGCAAATAGGGTTTTTCATGTCAACGACCGCCGTCACTATACGCTTCCCGTTACCACACACCTTATTTCATCCGTACGACTTCAATATAATACGTTTACACAAGAAAAATTATGTTATAACAAACGTGAACTCAATAACCGTGAAATATGACCCAATCATTAAAAATATAACCGAAAATTTAAACTCAATTTATAAGTTTGTGGGGCGCACGCTCATATCTATATGTGATGTAATACAATCAATCTACAGACACATTTTATTCGAGATCGTGTATGTACCTAACATGAATGTACTAATTATAGAACCTTGAAATGTCTCGAAGCGATATACAACATTAACAGCTTATAGACATTATTCATTTATACATATGTCACGGCTCGTGAAAATCGGTTATTATTTTTACGAGTTTCAGAACAAATGTGTAGTTAAGGTAAAATTAAGTTTCTCTGTTACGTAAGCTGAAGTTAAGAAATAAGTAGGCAGAAAACGAGTTAGACATTGCTTAACATCGCATATATTTGGATATTGTCTTTGTTGTGGAAAATCTTTTCAACACACAACGCTCTAAAATAATCTGTAATCTTAAAGAAGCCAAATCCGATGCTTCTTATACAGATTTTACTCCTGCATTTTTAAACTTACTTAACAGTTAATTATATTGATGTATTTAAAGTTGATAAAGCTGTAATTGATAAACTAGAAGTAATTACCAATTATATTGAATTTGTAAATAGATATATTTAATAAATATATGTACCTCGTACAAGTTTTTCCCTGGTGATAAATATAATAAGTGAGATTAACCATTCAAAAGTCATTGAATATTCCTTAACATACGAATTCGTTTAAATGAAAATCCTTGTAACATTCCGTGTTTATGTTGACATTGTAAATTCATACTTATTAGAAATCAATAACAAACAAGGCTATTATAATATGAACCGTGTGAATAAGCAATGGAAAGAAAACTGAATGCTATTATTAATGTCGTTTAAAATTAAAACCGTATAAATATAACGTCATATACGATAAAGTTCATTTAACGATAATTTAATATATAGATATAAAATATTTAACGCTTTTTCATGCTATACATTGGCACATTAATTCATATGGCTCATTAAAAATACTGATTATGTTTTTGCATGTAGTCAAATAACATGCATATATTTAAGGAGACTCTTATCTATTTCATATATTAGAAGGTTTTTAAAACGAGTGTTTTGAAGGATTGTAAGTACATGTATGAAAATAAATATATAGAAATTATTACAGCAGAAGTCAGACGTGAAAAGTTTATTTGGAAAACAGTTGGATGTTAAACAGAACGTAATGTTGTTGATAGTAGATTTAGTATGGCTCCCTATTGTTTTCAGCATTGTGAGGTCACAAGGCATTAAACAACACTGATCTAATTTAAGATCAATAAACAATGAGAGGGATTTATGAAAAAAAATGTTTGAAACACATTTTAAAATACTAATGTAATAAGCGTTATTTAAACTCGGTGTCCAAATAAAGATGATATCTGGAACGACTGCTTCAAAACGTGTCTATTAACGGGTTTAGAGGTTACATCTTAGTAACAATTGTGAGATGCTCCACTTTGCTATCCTTTTTATAAATTAATTTTATTAATATCTTTTTATATTGTTTCATCCGTGACCCGTTTTCTGTCTTCCAACTAGCGGGTTTATATAGGATGGACGTCGAAAATAACCTGTTGCTAGCGGATAGTAGGAATAAGCTGTAGTAAACGTTCATAAAAAGACGTGACATAATGGTTGGCAAACGATAAAACCAATGATACTAGCCGCTGCGTGGATTTATAGTTCGTGACTCTGTTATATTGTTTCACTTCTTATTCAATAAGTCGAAGACGAGGAAATTGCAACAAGAAACCGAACAGGTTTTAGACATACATTTTTACTAATAGACTAATAAATTAATGCGTATCGATTCAAGTTATGAAGAAAACATTATAAAGAAATTGTAATAGCGTAATCACTTGTTTCGAAATCATCTATATTATTCGATTTCTTGGGACATGATTATTTAATGTTCATATATTAGTGTGAAACAATTAACTTAAGTGTTTATGGTGTTTTAAAAGAGAACTATAAATGTACACACTATAATAAGTAATGAGAACGTAGTCAAATGTAATATTTGTTTCTGGATTCTAAGAAAATCAAATGATTCGACTCAGCCTTATAGGTTGATGACGTCAACATTAAACCAAGGTTTCTGTTAGTGAATAATTAAATATTTATGCCTTATATATGGTTGTTTTGTTCAATACCTACTATTACGTGCAATTCTTACATATACATATATATTTATACTGTTCTAGATTCAGAAAAATTAAAAACAAAAACAAGACATAACCTCAATTTTCACGTCATAATCTCGTGTCCAACACTTATTAATCACAACTCGTATAACTTTTCCGCGGCATAATTGTGTCGCAAATACGCAACACAATAGGTGTGTGGTTACTTATGTCTCAACACAGGAACGCTTTCATAACGTATGAAAACAATACTATCTATACATATCAACTTCATTAGGGATTTGGCAAAACAATACCGTTTAAACCTATACGATTCCTAAATATTGCGAGATCTCAGTACAGGTTAAGTTCTGATCCGCCAGTAATAATAATTATTGACAGCTAATTCGGCTTATTTATACGGTAATATACATATATGTAGATAGATATCAAATGAGTGAAATGATGAGAAAAGAACAGGTTGTCACACCGGCCTCGTGACATGGCCAGAGCCTCGCCGGCCGGACCAATGTGCTAACGACACAACTACTTTCATTTCGAAGTCAGCTTTCTCCCGAGACCGCTCTCGTGTAAAAGCTACGACGGCAAAATTTTAATACCGAGAAAACTTCTTCATACTTTGCTTGAATATAAACAAAAAAAAACTATATAAATATTGCTGAAGTTGAATTAAAATAATAAAATATATTCATATTTTTTCCTCAAATGTATGCTTTAATATTATTTACGAGTCGTTGCGATAAAACTAGTTGGATATTTTTACGAAACATAAAATCTTATGGAATATTCGTAACTTATCGGTCAAGCTAGAGGGCAAACTGTTTTTGATTGCGTGACATTAGAAAATAAATTAATAAATATATTTCTGTGTATGACGATGCAAGCTTATATTTATGAAAAATTTTATTATATTTACTTTAGATTTAATAGAGCGATACAGTATTAAGCAGTTAAAAATATTACTATTCCTCATACGAGAACAATAAGAAAGAAAACTTAGTACAAAATACAAAAAAATATTATGTTCTTTTTTTATGTTCCTAACCGTGGCTTCGTAAAGTTGCGTTACTTTAAAGGAAAGTTATTGAAATCATTGATAAGCAAGTTCCGCTGCAGTTGCAATCGTTATCAGACAATGAAATATTTGTTGTTGCACCGTAGTAATACGAATGTAACAAAAGAAATATACATTTTTATTATCAATTGAAAAAAATATTCTTACATCGTGATAAATTGGCGAGGTTAGATTAATACATACGTGAAAAGATGTAGAACACGTGACGGCAAGAACGAGCTAATTCTCGTAGACTTCATAAAATTTGATTTAAATTGTCTGCTATTAATGATAGAACAGACGTCTGGTACTGTTTTAGATTGGTCAAATATTAGAAATAAATATTAAAATTACGATATACTGAACAATTTATTATAAACACAAGTATCATATAAGTCTTTGCTAAATATATAACCAGAAGAAAAGATGAAGCGAACGTTTTTATTCTCTTAAAGAATACTATCAAAAATAATTTTAAAAAAATCTCATCGTATCTTTAAAATCAATAATCATGACAAGAAAAAACTGGAAAAGGAATCGTAATTTTAAAAAGAACAGTTTTCCTTAACTATGACTCAAGTACTACAGATACAAGAAGATATCACTTAAACAACAGATTATGACTTATCGTTAATCGCTTCAAAGTTTTGGAAGACAGCAGTTCAGAAAGCAAGAGATAATAATTTGTAAGAAAATATCAATTTTTGTATCAAAAAATATATGACACAGCGTTATCCTTGATAAATTCACTATATGAACCATGCGACGCATGAAATTATAGATCTATTTGTAATTTTATTGATTTCATTCTAAGAAATATTTATTTGGATCATTACACAAACAGAAATCAAATAAAAAATCTACTTTCAATGGCAAACAAATACAATATTTACATAATAATAAAAATTTCTAACAAAAAATCATTTTACCTTTCAATGTTGACAGATAAGAGATAGTGTTGTCGCGACACGATGTGGGCTTTTTACATATAAAATGATATAATCATAATCCATGACCTCAATAAAAATATTACAAAGTCTTTGTCATATATAAAAAAAATATATTGCTACAAGTGACGTCATGGTACATTAAAAATATAATTAACACATGAGATGTACGATGATTACTAACAAAACAGCTGTTTCTTATATTTTCTGTGCATTTTATTTTAGTGTATAATTTAGATTAAAGTAAGACAATAATGTATAAAGAAATAACAAAACGTATTAAAGATAGTAATAGTTTTTATCTGGACACGTGTTTGATTAAAATATCCAAGTGCCAGCCTAATGAACATATTTCAGTGGACAAAAAATAAAATGGAGCAAAACCTAATTTTAAACTATCGTTTGTTATCTTTTGTAACTGAAAAACATTTCTAGTCACAACAGCTTTTTCGTGTGGGCGATTACATGAGGGGAATAAGATAATGTCAGGGGTCAATGGTTTCCGACAATTATGACGGCACGAAGTTAATTGACCAGCCCATTTGATGAGGTGAAAGGTAACTTTTACAGTTAAAAGGTTAAAAATTATAAGAATTATAACTCCACAACACGCAGCTGTAGGAACGCACTACTTGCATTTAAGGAATATTAACTCACTAATATTTTTTTCTATATAAAAGGACTTAGTATTATGTTCACTATCCATTTATTTATGGACATTGAAATTTGAATGTGATTTCATATGCAGTTATTAAAATCATCACTCAATTTATAAAACTGGTTTAATGACGTAAGCAAAAAGCATTATATTTTATTTCTTAACGTCAAATATAAAAAATATACTATCCTTTGAAAATAAAAAATGTATCTTTTCATATTGGCAGTAAAGATTACAAAATATCATTTTAAAAGTAGAATATTTTCCGATTTAAAACACTTGTACCAGTTTAGGTATAAGTTAACGAGTATGTAAAACTTCAACATGTGACGTGAAAATCTCTTAAATACTTATTTAATTTGTTGATTGATTAATATAGAAACCAATAAATAATCTTCGTGGTAATTAACCTAAATTCTTCATCTGCGCTTACTTTTGGTTCTAAACAGACTAATTGAAATTTAAAGATATGGAACATTTTAACAAACTGCAGTTTTGTTATCATTAAATGGTTAATCTCCCAATAATTTCAAAATGTATTAATTTGGAAACTGGTTATGGTAAATTGCGTATGCGACTTAATGCAAAACAGCGTTTCCCATAAAATATACGTATATTGCTACATAACGTCATTTTGTAGTAATGTCATTGCAATCAATGCCCAAATTATAAAAAAATAATATAACTACACAGAGTTATAGTGTGTATTTTGGTTATTGTTGCTAAAATACGAGACAGAAAGTAAAAGATAGAAATTACGTGGCTCTGTTGACGAGTTTCGTCAGTGACATAAGATAGCACAATACCTACTGTATTCATAAAATATGCACAAATGAAGATTTAATACCTCCACTTCTGCTAATCTCCAGCTATCATAACGTAATATAATTCAAGGTTAAAACAAGTTTTTAGACTTTATATTGTGAATCATATTATTTTTAACAAGTTAATATCGTGGAGGTGATTCAATATATACGTAGGTACAGAAAATACCTACGTAATTATTGCAAGGATACGTTTTAAGTCAGAGAATGATATCACGGTTTTGGATGCGTAGGCGACAACCACAATTGTATAATCTTATGTAAACTGAAAATAGATAGATTTATATTTACAATCTAACACATAGAAACTGAATAAAATATCCTTTATGTGCCCCAGAAGTCTCAAATAATATAAAAGATAGGTACATCCAAAAAAAATTGTATCATATTTAAAAATACATATACGCTTTAAAAATCACTACAATGTGTAAAATAGTTTGAATGGTATGTGGTGTTATTAATTAAACAACACAATGTCATCATCCTACGTGAGAAGTTTTAAAACAAGAAACAATTATGTAGAACCTTCTTTTAGTTAAGTACACGTCATTATAAATAATAATAATAAAGTAATTTGCTAGTTGATATTTCTTTTTTTTAGTAGAAAATAATATTTAATATGTATTAAATAAGAACAGGTATGTAATTTTAATATATATATTTTTATCTTTGAATATTCCATAGTTACAAATTTTCGTTTTAGAATAGAGGAAGGTCGTCAAGTTATTACGGGTATCTTTGAAGTTGTTTTCGATTTTATAGCATCGGTACATAATATTATATCTTATTTGTTTTATTTTCTCCTAACAAATGCAATTCGATGCGTGTTTTATTGAAAAGTTTAAAACTATTGACTAAATTTTGAAAGCGTCACTAAATTAAATAGCCGTATAAAATACAGTGTTGAGATACTAAATATTCTTTAAGATGCATTAAAATTACACAGTGGAGGAAAACCACAACAACTATAACTTTGAACAGATTAATTTATTAACTTTGTGATTTAAACACATGATGAGCAGATGATGGATTATACAGTGTAAATAGTCGTCGCGGCTCAGTTGGTAAAATTAGCGGTAATTAACTGTTATGTGCTTCTTACCAATTCGATGATCTTCAATAAACCGGGCGGCGTTTTGAAATATTCTACATTGATTTTAATCCAATCCAGCGCACGTCCTTGCTGCTGCGGCGGCGCCTGCTGCTGTGCTGGTTTGTTATGATCTACTGTAACCACCGTCTCGGGAGCCATCATCCTCTAAGCTGTTTACTTTGGTTGAAAAAGAATACTCTAATAGTAATAACACTAGCACTGACACTATAATTTATAAATCTCAATACACTAGGACGCGCAAAACATTTTCTCCCCCAGCGTTGAACGTGGTATGTTCCGTGCGACGCGCAACTGAAGAATGACGGGGAACGACTGACGAAGCAACAAGAATGGCGATTGGCGATTGGCGACTGGCGACCGTCCTCGACTCGCTCGTCGCGCTACGGGCTTGTAGTGTGCGGCTTCGACACCAGCTACGGCATGCCCGTTCGCCGGGCGACGGAATGCTATACACAAATATAAATGCCCAACAAACATGACGACGAAAAATAAATACGTACACGCCTTACCATTTCAAAAAGTAGGTTCATTATCTATCAAATATATTGCGCCAAATTGTGTATTTAAAATTTCAAAATACCAGTACTTACAACAACGAATAGATCTATATAATTTATTCACAACTATTACTTCAATATAAGGAATAGATATATTTAATTAGAAAACACATCTCATACTCATATATGCCACACAAGAATGTTCATAAATAAAATTTGATATCACCAAGGCCGAGGCGTGTACCAAGTTACTTGCCTTCAGTTATTTAGTCGTTAGAAGTTGTGCAATAAATTGTTGGAATGACAATTGCATTTACACTTACCAACAAGTATTAGCTGCAAATGTTAGAATCATAATTTAAGTTAATTAAATTGAATTGCGTAATAAACTGTAATTATTCCTAAAATAGTTTCTGGACTTTAAGTATTAGTTTACACTTTACAGTTTTAATAAAAATTTTGTCATCAATATTACTATACACGAAATCGCAGCAGCGACTCTTTTAATATAGTTCTACTTACCTTTTAGGGGCATCTTACAATGAAATCCTTTTATCCGTTGGGAATAAATCACCTTGGGAATCCACTCCCTTTCTGGATTTTGCTACCACTTCCCGTGCCCATACATGAATCGCTTTTATACAGGGTGACTGGTGAATTACTATCGATACTTGAGGACGTGATATTTGACGATCATATATGACAAAATAAAAATTAATATAACATAAATATTAATAAACTTCTAAGTAAAGTTAACCAAAAGTTATGTAATTAATTACGCATCGTGTGCACACCCTACAGATTAGGTATACACTCACACACACATACGCGTGCGGCGGCGTAGTGTTGTATCAGCACGCCGCCGCACGCGTCCACACTTGGGACACTTGGAACGTGTCAACACTTTATTTATTTATACGGAAATTTTGTCAAAAATTAAGTGCCTATTTTTTTTACATAATTCGGATGAGAATCATGTACCGAGTATTCTCCTTAAATATTGATAGTAATTCACCAGTCACCCTGTATATCCAACGAATAAAATCTTTTTAATAAATAATAAACTTACAAAATAAAACTCATACGACAGACACAATCAACATTATAGAAAATAGCAAGGCAAAAGAATATTTTGCTTGAAATTAAAATTTCTTTTATTGTAAAACCACTCAAGCTAGATTTAATAAATAATTATCTTTAATCCCTTAAAATCTAAAACAGCAAAAAAATGTAAGAACGTAAATTTCTAAATTGGCATCACTAAGATATTTTACATACTTACATTTTTTTCTACAGTTTTATGAAACTATATTTAACTTTTAAGTAATAAGGAAAATAAAGTTGTAGAATCTTTGTTATTATTCAGCCAAATTTATAAAGTATTAATTTACTGTATGTTGAGCAAAAGTTTGTAATGTCACACAGCACGCTGCATACGAAGCGTTTTACGTTTTTAATATATGAAGATCCTAATGAATGAAACACTATTAATGCTCCGTATGTAGTAAAACTATTCAAATTTGAATAAAGCATATTGGTAGTTTTTCAAATTTTTTCAGTTAATTTTCTTCGTAATAATGAAGTGGGAGATCAGCGGAATGATATTGATGTAGCTTTTATGAAGTCATAAATAAAAAAAATGTCTATGCCAATGAAAATCTAAAAGTAAAACATTTAAATTATTTAAAAAATAATAATTTTGTTGATATATTAAAGAGAATAACAGAAATGCCAAAAATATAGTGATTTACTATCCATTTATATTATTATTTATTTTATATCACACGATAATTACTGCTAATTGATTGTAGAAATAATATTTATTTGTCCGTTAGCATTTCACCTTTTTTCTTAATAAAAATATTGCCTGCTTACTGTTGATATGTAACTTTATTTCATAAGCAAAAGACTAGTCATGAATGAAATAGTGTTTTATTTTCGCTCTATTTTGCTATAACCTATACTCGAAAGAGTAATTTACAGAATTGGATAGAGAGAAACCAGTGTGCTTAAAAAGTTATAGTTATGGTAACTGCAATTTGTATATGGTTAACTGAGTGACAGCGCCATCTATGTACTACACCACGACAGTTAATGCAAAATGTGAATTGCGATACTTCTAGCATGATCTCGGGAAAGATAATAATAAAATAATGTAATTAATTTTGGGTTAAATGGTTCATTTATATATTATTTACTTTAATACATCCATTAGTTTTTGAGTGAAAAAGTCACAACTCCCGTGTTTAATATGGTAAACATAAATTACTAAATTCTCTAGACATTAAATAATTCTTCGGATACGAAAATAGAGAATGCATAAAAAACAACAACAGTATTACGTCTAGAAAAACTCAGGGCTGGATTGAGACTATCTCGCCCGTAAAGATTTCAACGCATTTTCAAACATTTATAGAATGTAAGTTGCTAAGTTCCTAGTTCTTGAAAGTACTGTGTACGATCAAACTCGTGTAAACATAATGTAAAGTTATTTTAATTGCAAGTTCCTAAAACTTTATACCTTAAAGCTTTTAAATAATTTCTATGACTCTTAAAGAGTATTTTCTGACAAATGATTCACACATAACTATAAAACACTTAATTTAACTGTTATTAACTTATATATAATTTATTAAAACTTAATATTCACATTTGACAAGTACTAATTATTTTCCAATATTCAGTAAGTGATGTTGCATTGGTAACTTGCAAATAATTTTTATAATGTGAGAAGAGGTTTTTAATTTAAAACTATTGTTTGTTGAGGAGAAATTCTTACTCCTAGTAATTATTTTGCTCTAATTACACGTAAATGTATCTCAAGTTCAGATCGGTATAATTAGAACCACAAATGATTTAAGATACTAATAGACTTGACTTCTAATGTTAGGGATAAAGTTGATGGCTCCCACTTTCTATCGTACATCTCTTACCTGTCCATTGCCTATTTGAAAAAGCATAGTCAATTAAATATGAAGACAGTTTAAATTGTAAAGTTAATTAGCATCACTTAAAAGTTTATGACTGCAAAGTTTTAAATTATATCTTAATGTATCTCAACTCCAGATCCAACTAATTAGAACTGCAAATGAATTTAGATCCTATACTAGACTTGTCTTTTAATATGTTGATGTCTATCAAATTCTATTATATATATCGGCACTTTCAGTATTAATAATGTTTTCAACATGAAAATACCTTGAGCCTGTCATCAGTTATAATAAAAACTTATTAGTATTCATGATTATTGTTACAAGTAAAACGAAATTAAAGACTGTTTAAAAAGAGAACTGTTTGAATTTTGGTATAAATATGATATCTGGATGCACAACAGCAGAGTTAAGAGATTGTGAACCATTGAAGAATGTGATTATGAAAGTTTCTATTTAAAATATGATGGAACACTCAAAATGAAGTGACATTAGTGATGTCAGCAAGGCTGGTATCTCTCTCTTTAAAAACAATGAAGTTAGATGTTTCACCTATCTTTTGCTTATTAAACAAACATACTCCAGTCATAAGCAATCATTAAGAGTCAACAATAATTGCAAAAGAAATTATCATCATTCAGTTCTAGAAGTTCACATGGAAAACCGTTAAACTAATGTATCATACACAAATTTAATTTAACAGTATTAAATTCCAGAAAAATTTACATTTATAGATTTGGTTGAATAATAATTAGCAGAAAAAAGTGTTATAAAGTACCAGAATTTAAAATTGATGAATAATAACTGAAATTTCCACAAAAAAAAACCTCAAACTTTTCACACATACATTATAGACAATATTTGCTCTTATCACACAGACAAAGGCACAAGTTAAAAAGTGACTAAGTGTATAAAGAGATTAGATATTAAAAAAATCATAAAAGAAACAAATTGAATAATAAATAAAACCAAAAAGGTACATTTTCAAATGTATTGCGTAAAGTTAGAAAAAGAATCCTAAAATCTTCCCTCCAAGATGTTTTCGTCTGGCTTCTTCATGGTCCATGATACCTCCGCTGGTGGTGAGTACAAGGTATCTGAAATTACAACAAAGAGAAATTAAAAAACCATAATAATATGAAAAAAGCCTTATGTTAAGTGAAATTATAGTGTCAGCAATAGCATTAACAATGTTTACTATAGAGCAACATCAAATGTGTTATTGCATTACAATGTAGCATAACATGTCAAATGACAACCAACAAGAACTATTGGTGATCCGCGGTAGTTATGCACAGCTAAATTCAAGGAATCATTTTAATATTTACATAAAATATTCACTTATATGACCAATATGAACTAAATGCAGTGTACATGAACAAATTGTGTCTTCAATATACCCAAAGGTATGAAAAAGTCTTACAATCACTAAGATATATAACATGGCAATTTTCTGCTTATAGTTTTTGATCTATTTTTAACAAGTAAACAAAAAAATAAGTTCTAGTGTAAAGTAAGCATAAGTGATGGAAGTGATTTAGTTTAAAAGATGCCATATAAAACCTAAAAGTAAATTTGGAAATATGTTCCTATAACAATAGTGGTGCATATAAAAGAAGCTAAGTTTTCCAACAAATACTATATTACTAAAAATTAAAAATATGTCAACATCTATTATTAAATGAAAATAAATATATTTTAATTTCTAGTATAGAGACGAAAATTTTAACATAAAACATTACACTTAAAAGAAAGCTTAACCTCAAAAGGACGTAATGAAAACAATAGTGCATTACTATTTAAAAAGACTTAGCTTCTAATATAAAAAGTTTATGAATCAAACGGACTTACCCGAACTGTCGAGATGGAAGTAAGTTGGTCCATCTCTCGATATCATTAATTGGAACATCAAATCGCGGTGAGATAACTCCACATTTGTTTAATCTGCCGGTAAGGTTAACAACGATTTTGCCAGCCCTATGATCATCCACTATTTCAAATTCACCAATATAACCGTGCTTCATCATCACTGTGAGAAACTTGACGATGACTTTGGAGCAAGGCCGGATCAGCACTTGTCTTTTGCCTCGCTTTTCAGCATTGTGAATAGATTTGAGAGCATCACTCAATACGTTCATACGCACCATGGCTGGAATAACACGAGTTTAAGGTAAAATAAGATGTTTGAGGTTGTAAACCTTAGGTATACACGAGAGACTGTCAAAACACAAAACATAGGTAATAGTACCTAAATACTAGGGCAATGGCAAAAATAGAATTTGATTACATATATACTGTAAACACTTTCACATAAAATTCAAGTTCTTTTCAACGAAACATAGTAAAAATCGAGATTACCTAGGATTTAAAACCCGCCTCGACAATCCGAAATGACAGGTTCACCCAAAAAGAAAGATTATATTTTTACGTCAAGTAGTTGAGTGTTTTATTACAGATAATAAAACGTTAACTTTGGTGCACAGATATTACACTAAATAGTCTTTGGTTCGTTAAAAAAGTTATAAAATATCAAATCGGTAACATGAATAATATAGAAATAGCTGTTTTGCTAAAATTTTACGTTTTATAATCTTCGGCCTTGAAATGAGTACGATAATTTTACAAATTTATCTTCATAAAAAAGTATAACATATTTATGAATTATCTAATTTCTACTCAATGTGTTATTTTAAAAAGTATTCCTTAAAACTTAAATAAATATTTTATATAAAATAAGATAGTCTTTTTTGTTCATATTATTATAAAAGTTAAAAATAAACGATATATATAAATATGTCGTGTTTATGTTTAACTTTTAATTTTGTTTCATAAATTTGTTCTTGTATATAGGAGCAATTAATATTAGTATTTAAACACAGTTTATAATATTCAATTTTCTCAGAAATAACATTTTAATAGCTGGATACCTGGACTATTGGCCAAATGTTTATCCAAAAGAACAAGTGAGTGAATGTTGAACCTTAGGAACGGAATGGTGAATGGAATTCTCTTTGTTTGTATTCGTATTCGTCAGCTCCGCACGCACGCGTTTGGCTCGCATCTTTCAAACGAGTAGTTATTGTGCAATAAAAGTTTTAAAACTTTCGAACTTAACAAAAACTTGATTACGACATCTATCTAAGTACTCGCATTGCAATTTTGGATCTGATTTTTGTTTAATACACAATTTAAGTGTTGATAAAGTGAAAAACATACTATGTAACTTAATTTTATAGGGCACATAAAGTTGAGTGAACTTTCGTACCTTGTTCGTTTGGTATCCAGAGAATCCCACAGGTGCCATTATAATGTTTTAAGAAACTTTATTTTGTCTAAAATTCAAAATGTACTTAAACGTACACAACTTTTTACGTGCTACAAAAGTTTCATGTAAATTAAACAACTTTAAAACAGTCACTGGTGTCGTAATATTCTAATGCTATACTGTGGAGACTTTTAACTTGTTATGGAAGAGTTGGAGCGGTTGATCAAGATGTTTTTCAATAAAACCTGTGCTGTTTTACTTATATTATTGTGTTCCATTCAAAATCCATCACTAGCAGAACCTGGAAGTAAGTTAAATTTAGTTTTATTACTTAGTCGTAAGACGTTCACATTATTTTCTAAGAAATGTTTTTAATTTGGGTTTGTTAGCAGTTAAACTATTTATTTCATTAATGCAACTCTTTTATAATCAATAACTTTTGTAATGTATTAATATTGCTCTATATAAACCTAGATTTTTTAACTAATGAAAAATTAAAAATTTAAAACTAAAAACTTATATTTACTTAAACATTAAAATTATGATTGAAATTATTTAATTTCCATTTTCAAACTAGTTTTAAAATTTCCCTTCTAAAAAAAGTAATAAAAATTTATTTACATGTGTATCATATAAAAATATTTTTGTACAAAAAGTTCTGATAATGAATAATATTTATGTAATTTATGTTATATAAAAAAAATCTGGGAACTTTCAGTAGTGTTAGGAATATTTGCTAGTATAATTTGGAAACACCCAAACATAACTAACTATTTGATTTTATTAATTAGTAAGAGACAAAAAAAAAGTATTGGAAAGTAATTTTCACAGACAAATTAGTTAACAAGCGCTAAGCGGTAAATCTATATGATGATAAGATTAATAAATTAAGTCTAATTTTTTGTAATGGTAAAAAGTTAAATGTTTTCCAAACATAATTTTTTCTGTCCATTTTTATTATTTTCCGAATATTTACTATCTACCAGAAATCTCCAATTTTTTATTATTATAAAATAAAATATTAACTTCTATTAATATATACTATATGTAATATATAGGTACAGGGTACTTTGTGTTATACCCTGTTCTGGTGTAGAAATTCCTCATTAATACAACATAAATTTAAAAATTTACTAAGCAACAATACTATAAAATATTTTAAATGAAATCTATCAGTATTCTTATTTTTTTCTTTTATAAATGCTCAAAATATTAATTATGTATATTTTTCATAATTTCTTAAAACAATGTGTTACACTTCATTAAGCCAAGTGTCCTAATTCTGGCACAACTTCACATATAACTTGCATGTATGCTATTCTGTCTCATAACTCAATCAAGAGACTTGACAAACTTTGCTAAGTTAGAGTGGTACTAAAATATTCAATACAAATTAACGCCGCCGTCCAAAATATGTATGGAATGTGAGCTCAGGTCTACTTCCTGGTCAATATCGTGAAATTTATAAAATCTACGTTTTATAACATTTCATATCCATTGTTATAGAAAACAAAGCGATATTAATGAGAGTAAAAGTTCCTTTTCAATATTCAAAAGGAATAAAATATTGCCGCGGTTGAAGAATATTAAATTTTCGTCTACGACATTAAAAAAAAAACGATCCCTATTTTGGATAGTTGATTAAAAATATTTTATGACGTTATTACTTGTATATTATTTACAATAATTATAGATAGTAGAATATAATTTGTCCGTTCGTAAATTCAGAACACCATCTGGATAATAACATTTTCCATATAAACGTTAGATTTAAAACAGTTTAGATAAGACGCAATCAACAGATAATTATAGTTCGCTGTAAAACTATAGTTAAAAGAACCAACGCTGCTTGTAATCGATCAAAATGTGTAAGAAACTTATGGCAAGGTAAAACTTTATACATAAATAAAAAACAACTTAATCACAATGATTAATATGAAAAATTAAATACAAAGTTTTTTCTTAGAGTTATATTTAATATTTTGGCTCGCTTTGTTAAGCCTTAAGGCTTTTATTACACAGTCGATCGTCCTGTTATCTCTTACGTATGGGGGTTAATGTACACGCTATTATAAAGATATATCATTGAGTACAGAAAATGTTTAATCCTGAAAATAGAAGATTTCCGAATGAAAAAGTATATCAATTGCAACCGAAAAAAAACAAAATTTGAAAGGATTGAAAAGTCTCACGTTTTATGATATCATTAATTTAGACTTATTTGTCATTAATAATGTAATTTTAATAAAAAAAAAGTTCTATTTTAAACCAATAATGCTTTATTTTTAATGAACTTATAGTTTCATGAAAAATATAGACAGTGGAGTATTTTTTATATACACTGTAATTAGGGCATAAAAATTACGTTAATATATTCGTATGCATATTATTTAACTAGGTGTCGCCTTCAGCTTTAAACCCATATTAAACACGCGATATAAGCGTTATCATTCTTATGAGGTTACATCCGATTTATCGAGGACCTCTTCATCAGAGCCTGACTTCTTGAACAAGAAACTACCTCAGGAGAAAGCCCTTTCGCATAAAAAAAAAGAAAATCAGATTATATTGAGGTATTAATAACGTAACAAACAAATAGTCGAATAATAACATCTTCTTTGAAGTCGGTTAAAAAGTAGAGTAAATTATTCCTTCACTTACGATCTAATCTGCCCAGTTGTAGACATTAGGTGTAACAAATCGACAGAAAATAATAATTAAAATGTCGTTTTCGATGTACAGTGTCTTAAATATTGTCATATAAGTTTAGTAAAAGCTGTTAATACGTAATTACAAAAACAGACTTAAATTTTTGTATTAGTATAGGTTTGTCCGTAAAATAAAATTCTGTTTGTTAAAGTAGCGGGAAACAGTTATTAAGCATTATGCTTCCATATCAGCAAACGAAAACACAATTGTGTTTGGAAACCGTACTTAGCAGAAGCTGTCTGCGTTGAAATACCGTTTTTCGACGTTTTTCTTTCATGCATCACCAGATATCTTTATATTAACGGCAATTCGACTATAAATAACGTGAAACTGTCAGTGTTCAGTTAACAATGAAAATTCGTATTAAGGCTTCAATTCTAGTTTACTGATGCGTCATTAATCACTGATAAGTCCTAAGCTAATTGCGTCCACTATTATTTCGATTCGACTTCTAATTATATATTCAAAACAAAATTTGTAGGTACATAAAGTTAGGTTTACGTTTCAGCAATATTTTATCTTTGAAATATGCTTATATCAACTAAACTTATATACCAGATTGTATATAAAATATGGGGAGAAACATATTTATTATTTTTCTTTAAAATATATATTTGAAGATATGTACATTCATAATTTACATAAATTCAAGAATTGTTTTATTGTAAGCAATTATGCTGACGCTAATGTAATATTTTTTTTATTATTTTCTGATTACATTTAAATTATATGAAGGAATAGGTCAAGTATAACGTTATGCAATCATATTACTCGGCATAGAATAATAATAAACAAATGTAATAATAGGTATATAGTTTACATTTTTAAGTATTTTACATAAGTAAACCCGTGTGACCGTTTCTTATAAGCATCGTGGGTAAAATCCTTACCCTTCGTTAGTAAAGTGTTGCTAATCCAAAAAATAAGCAAACTCCTTTTATGAGCGAAATACTCGTTTCTTTTGACCATTTAGTTTTCACCTAAATCTTACAATACAATGAGCTCTATTGAAAAAAATGTAATTGTTAACCGACTTCAAAAACGGATATTTAGAGAACAAAATTTGACTACGTATTTTCTTTGTCATTTTAGCTCGAGAAGTGAATATAAAATATACATGACCGTTCAGAATATAGACGACCGTCAAATACACTCACACATATACAAAAATCACACGACACTCACACATTTAAATATTCAAGAATTAGCAAATTTATATATTAATAATATAATACTAATGAAATCTCGCACGATCGATATATCTAAAGTCATTATACAGGCCGTATACATTAAGCCTGGTAGACGGTACTAACTAAACATGTGTGCGGCTCTTTCATTGTATTCATTCAACAATACATTTTTAATAATGTTAGAACCTATACAATACTTATTTAAAACATAAATTAGCTTGGCATAAAAATTTATATTCAATTAACTTGGCCACGTATGTGAAAATTATTTGAAAGTTTTTTAACATCGTTAATTTTGATCCGGTCATTCGGTCCCTTTAATACATATTTATATTTAAGGTCTTTGATTTTTATGTGTTTATGATCTACTATCAGCTACCATTATTCATGTTTAATTCGCTTTATTGGGTTTGTATTTAAAGAAATGAACGAATTATACGCGTAAAATAGCTATACACAAACATACGTACAAAATGAAAGTTTGTTAATCTTTTTATCCAGCAATCCGACGCAAATAGTGCAAAATGGAATTCTAAATTTGGTAAATATTGAATTAAGTACCTTAAATACTCTTTTTCACCTATCTCTCATAAAACAGGCATAAATATTTAGAATAAAACATTTGAATTTAAAATACATACATCGATATTTTCTTAATTCTTTCTTTTTTTAATTTTCTTAATACAAATTTAAAAAAAAGACAATCTTAGTCTTATCCAACAAAAAATATTAAATTATCTCTATGCATTTAGTCTAAATAACGGAGTAATAGGCGGAGCACGGACTCTCAAAGCTGCTTTGTTCCCAGAGGTGGGAATTACGACGTAGCGGAACCGAGTGGCATATTACAGTACCCACTTAACTCGTATAAAATACTACCAACATTGACATGATATTTACGTTATGCCAACTTTAGAGTAGCACAAGTTCACAACACACAGAGATAATTAGGACGGAATCTAAACGCGCCCTAAATATGATAAACTTAGATCATATATATGAATATTAATTTAGCATTTTTAAATCGAAGACGGTTTTTTCTCACACGTAGACTACTTTGTGACTGAATAACTCGTTCAGGATCGTCGAGGACGCGAACACGACCCTCACTGAAATGCATTCACAAGCACGCACGCAAAAGTGCAGCAAACCTATATCAGATAAATACTAAGCAGTCTGTATTGTGCCTTAGAGGAAACTTCTATTGTTATATCTATCATATAAATAAAGTATAATATCATTAGATCTGCGATAAATTACAGTTTTGTTTGTTATTAATAATTATAAACTACATGATTTGTCAGCCGGATAATGTAGACTCTGAATGTATTATTTCTAATGTTCTCAGCCCAAAAAATTGGTAATTTATCTCCAAATTATATATTTACTCGTAACTTAATTCCGCTTT